CAGCTTACATTCTCTTTTCCCATGGGTACTACATGATAGATAATCAGAATGTGATTTTATGCATGATTGATCAGCATAATGCAACATTCGACACCGAGTCACTGTAGATTGTGCTTCTCCTTCAAATGCATTGAATTCATGTTCAAAATTTTTGATCTTTTTAAAAACCCAAATTAAAATTTGTACACCCATATTCACAGAAACATCCACAATATCTGAGAGGTGAGCACAAAACAAGTTTTCAATAAGGGATGAGCAGATAAACAGAATGTGGCATATACCTACAGTGGAATGTTATTCAGCCTTAAAAGGGAAGAGAATTCTGATGCATGCTACTATACAGATGCATCTTAGAAACACTATGCTAATGAAAATAAGTCAGGTACAAAATGACAAATATTGTATGATTCCACTTATAAGAGCTATCTACAATAGGCAAATATATAGAAGATATAAAGCAGAATAGTGGTTCCCAGGGGCTGGAGGCTGGAAAAATAGGGAGTTATGGTTTCATTTGTACAGTTTTAGTTGGGAAAGATGAGAAAGTTCTGGAAATGAGTGGTAGTGATGGTGAGTGGTAGTGATCAAAATGTTGATTTTTATGTTGTACATAAATGATCACAAAAATCTAAACCATATTTTATTAGTAACTTTTAATTAAACATATATAATACACACCTTTGTGTTGTTCAAGAAAACTTGACTTACCCTCTTTCTGATATTGATATTCCTACTAGTTTCTTTTTCTTTCTTTTTTTTTCCTTTTGTTTTTTGAGACAAGGTCTTGCTATGCAGTTCAGGCTGCCTTGAACTCACTATGTAGCCCAAGCTGGCCCTCAGAATCACTGAGATCCTTCTGCCTCAGCCTCCCGAGTGCTGGGATTACAGTTGTGTGCCACCACACCCTGCTTCACAATAGTTTCTTAGTAGCTTCAACTACTTGTCTAAGCAAAAAAGGGAACTAAATCCTTTTGAGATCCTGAATAGATCTCTCAAGAGAAGCTGTGTGCTGGCTCAGAATCAAAATGGTATAATCTGGACTTCCATATAGCATCCAAATATCAAAGAAGGGGAAATTAACATGATGTGATTTTATAAAATAAAGTCGGCTTCTGGTGTTTATCCCCAGAAATACTATCTTTAGGGTCTAAATGAGAATTTCTGAAAGTGCTCATCACTAATAGTTTGGTATTTCATCCCCTATTTTTGGCTGCAGAAATTTTATCTTCTTCTCATCAATGCTTCCCTGGGACCCTTCCTGGATTAAGAAGAGTATGATTTGGGTGAAAGAGTGCCTCTGCCTAGAGAGGCAGGCTGCTGCTAGGACCTCAAGTGGCGTCATCCTTCTGGTCTCTACTTATTGAGAAAGAGTGACATCATCTGTGTTTTTGACTTGAGCAATTTTCCTTGATAGAGTCTGTTCACTGCTTAAGAGTGTTATGTGGTAACACCCGACATGGTAACACCAATACCATCACCCCAGGATTTAGAAAATGAATAGAATGATAGTTCTTCAAATTTAAATAGTTCACAAGAAATAATCTGGTGACATCCTGACTTCACAGATTCATTCACTCACTTATTCATTCAGTTGGAAAGTCATCCAATTATTATTAATCACCTGGTATGTATTAGAAACTGTTCTGGTCTAATCTGGGGGGGGAGGACAATGATTATAATAAAGACAATATAACCTATTAAGTAGAGATACAAAATTTTGGAAAGATTCCAAGAGAAAGATTCTTCCCCCCCCCATTAAGTTTATTGGTGCAATTTTGGTATAAAATACAGTTACATTCATCACTGGGATCTT